TCACAGTTCTTTGTCATTCATATATATATATATATATATATATATATATATGTAATTTATACACACACACACACACACACACACACACACACATACACATATCCCACTACAGATGGATATAGTCAATTGAAATAGGTTTTATTTATTTTTTTGGTGCCAGGGATTAAACCCAGGGGTGTTCAACCACAGATCCACATTCACATGTCCCCAGGCTATTTTTTATCTTTTTATTTTGAAACAGTGTGTTGCCAAGTTGCTTAGGGTCTTGAACTTGCTATCCTCCTGCTTCAGCCTACCAAGACGCTGGATATATAGGCGTGTGCTACCACACCCAGCTCAATTGTAATGTTTTGACTTGGAGCTGGGTGTGGTGGCACTTGCCTGTTGTCCCAGCTACTTGGGTAGCTGAGGCAGAAGGAGAGGCTTGTGCCCAGAAGTTTGGGATCAGACTGGGTAAAATAAGCAAAATAAAAATGAAATCACTTTTTAAAAATTGAAATCACTCCTATCTGTGTACTGTACCACCAACTTGATAATCAGGTTTTTAAAATTTCATTTTGCATTAAATTTTTATGGATTGCTTTTTTAAAAGTTCCATTTTCTTTAGAAAATCCCATAATATTTACATGGTTTCAAAGTCGAATCAACATAACAATGTATATTGAGAGAATTTTGGTTTTTACTTTTGTTCTTAAACATTGTTTTCTTCCTCTATACATAATTGTTTAAAAATCTTTTATCTTGGGCTGGGGTTGTGGCTCAGTGGTATAGTGCTCACCTGGCATGTGCGAAGCCCTGGGCTCAATCCTCAGCACCGCATAGAAATAAATAAATTAAATAAAGGTATTGTGTCCAATTACAACTAACTAACTAACTAACTAAATATTTTTAAAAAATCTTTTTTCTTTTGAACTCGGATTTATTTAGACCACATTGCAAGTGCGCRCACACACACACACATACACACACACACACACAATCACCCATACACAAACACATTCTCCCTTGGGTAAAAAGACTTCCCTACACACTGTTCTCCACCTTGCTTCTTTTTACTTTCAGAACATCCTAAGATTACTCCCTAGCTTTTTGTTGTTGGTGGTAGTGGTGCAACACTCCATTGTGTGGATGTTCCATGGTTCACACAACCTCCTGATGGTCTTTATCTCCAGCCTTCGGCTAGACTGAATGGCCTGGTGCACATACTTTGCAATGTCTTTGTGACAGACACCTCCAAATGGGACTATATCTTTACCCTGCCTGTTTTCCTGTAGAGAGCCAGAAGGCCGACCTGTCAGAGGGGACAGTGGAGAGGCTGCCCTCCTTCAGCACTTCAGGAATGGGTGCTGACCTCGTCTCCCAGGCAGGGGCCTCAGCTGGGCAGGTGGATGGGGTTCTTGGCCCAGGCCAGGTACCTCTTGGCCACCTGCTGCTGCCCACAGAGGTTGAAGCCAAAGATCCTGAGACATCCAGTGAGAACCCTGGGACTTGCCTGGAATTGTCTGCAGCATCTAAAAGGGTCATCGAGGCCCCCACCAGCCAGGATGTGACACCAAGTACAGGACAAGGAACATCATCCAGCAAGCTTGATCCTCAGTCCTCAGAAGAAGTCTTATGGTTGACTTCAGGGCCCAGTTCTGAGCCCCCAAGGGCACCAKCTCTCTCCAGGGCAGCTCACAGTGGTGGAGAATCTCCGCTAAGGTAAGGGTTGCTCTTCTGTGCTGGGCAGCGGGTAGAATTAACTACAGTCCCTCAGAGGCAGCATGGCAATGGGCCAGTAATGCATGCTGAATGACCACTGTATGCCTAGAGCTAGACTAGCTTKCTGAGGGGAAGACCCTGTGTTTTTTGGAAGATTAAAGCACCGGTTGTCACTTGCTGCCCCCTACAGTTATCTGGAGATTTAAAAAATACCAACACCCAGAAATTCTGAGTCAATGATTCTGGAATGAGTCTTAGACATGGTTTTTGTTTTAATTTGTTCTTTTTAGCTATACATGACAGTAGAGTGTTTTTTCTTTTACATATTATTATTCATACATGGAGCATAACTTATTTTAATTAGGATCCCATTCTTGTGGTTGTACATGGTGTGGAGTTAAACTAGTTGTGTATTCATATACGAACATATGAAAGTTAAGTCCAATTCATTCTGTCTTTCCTGTTCCTTTCAGTCTCCTTTGTCTAATCCAGTGAACTTCTATTTCTCTCTCCCCTTCCTTATTGTGTTTTAGCATCTACATATCAGAAAGCACTTTCGGCTTTGTGTTTTTTTTGATTGGTTTATTTCACTTAGCACGATAGTCTCCAGATCCATTCATTTACCGACAAATGCCATAATTCCATTCTTCTTTATGGCTGAGTAATATTCCAGTGTGTGTGTGTGTGTGTGTGTGTGTGTGTGTGTGTGTGTGAGAGAGAGAGAGAGAGAGAGAGAGAGAGAGAGAGAGAGAGATATTCTTTATCCATTCATCTGTTTAAGGGCACCTAGGTTGGTTCATAGCTTAGCTGTTGTGAATTGAGCTGCTATAAATATTGAAGTGGCTGTGTCATTGTAGTATGCTGATTTCAAGTCCTTTGGGTATCTACCAAGGAGTGGGATAACGGGGTCAAATAGTGGTTCCATTCCAAGTTTTCTGAGGAATCTCCATACTACTTTCCAAAGTGGTTGCACCAATTTGCAGTCCCACCAGCAATGTATGAGTGTACCTTTTCCCCCACATCCTTGCCAACATTTATTGTTGGCCATTCTGACTGGAGTGAGATTAAATCTCAATGTAGTTTTAATTTGCATTTCTCTAATTGCTGGGGATGTTTAACATTTTTTTTCATATATTAACTGATTGTATTTCTTCTTCTGTGAAGTGCCTATTCAGTTCCTTTGCCCATTTATTAATTGGGTTATTTGTTTCTTTGGTGTTAGGTTTTTTGAGTTCTTTTTTTTTTTTTTTTTTGGTACTGGGGATTGAACTCAGGAGCACTTGACCACTGAGCCACATCCCCAGCCCTATTTTGTATTTTATTTAGAGACAGAGTCTCCCTGAGTTGCGTAGCACCTTGCTTTTGCTGAGGTTGGCTTTGAACTCTCAATCCTCCTGCCTCAGCCTCCAGAGCTGCTGGCTTGAGTTCTTTATATGTCCTGGAGATTAATGCCCTGAGGTACAGGTGGTAAAGATTTTCTCCCATTCTGAAGGTTCTCTCTTCATGTTCTTGATTGTTTCCTTTGCTATTGAGAAGCTTTTTATTTTGATACCATCACATTTATTGATTTCTTGATTTTACTTCTTGCACTTTAGGAGTATCATTAAGGATTTCACTTCCTAAGCTGACATAATGGAGATTTAGGCATACATTTTCTTCTAGTAGTTGCAGAGTCTCTGGTCTAATAACTAGGTCCTTGATCCACTTTGAGTTGAGTTTTGTACAGGGTGAGAGAGAGGGGTTTAATTTAATTTTGTTACATATGGATTTCCAGTTTTTGCAGAACCATTAAAAAATGTTGAAAAGTCTATCTTTTCAAATGTTGAAAAGTCTATCAAAGCAGGCTGTCAACCCAGAGGCTTTCAGAAGGATTATGGAAGGGGTTTCATAGGTGGAGTTATGGCAGCCACCCTGACCCTTAGAACATGGCCTCTGACCATGCTCAGCAGTCAGTGTGGGAGAATAAAGAACCTGCTGACTCCCAACCCCTGCCCCAGGCCTGTATTTGTCACCTTTGTGGGATGGCACATTCACATCCCCCAGCAGCCTCTTCTGGGCATTGCAAGTTTCTCTCAGATGAACTTCATCCCTTTGTGATTGCCCTGGGCTGCCCTGACCTAAAACTGAGACCCCAAGGCCTGGCCCAGGGAGGAAGCCTGGTTTGTGTTTGCTGTGGTGACTGGCAGAGAAGTCCAGATCATTTGTCTGCTTTTGTTCTGGAAGGAAATGGGAGCTTCCCAGGAGACCTRACAGCCCCAGGGAGGGATTCCAGGCAGGCATTCCTGGATTCAGGCCAGGGCCGTAAATATGGTATCTGGGGCTGGGGGTGAACTTTCCATGAACTCGGTAGAGGCCCAAAGCGATTCTGAAAAGATCTGTATCTCAGTTTCAGCCCTGAGCTGAACTTCAAGCATACTGGATTTACAGCGTCTGGATAGTGGGGAGGTCACTACCTGTCCTTCCTCCCCTAGCACAAGAATATATTTTGAGGACAATGGATTGGAAGTCAAGCATCAACTGTGATTTGTAGGGGCTGCTCTGTAGTCGTGCATGCAGTACATCCTGAGGCAGTATCTGAACTTGGTGGTACAGAATGTTGCAGTTAATTAAAAATGCCTGCCATGAGTGTGCCAGACAGTAGATGAGAAAGTTTGGGACACTCAAAATGACCTGGCACTGCATGGCAGTGGTTTTAGGGTCATCCTCTGTCCTTCTGTAAGGGAAGACATAAGAGGGAGTGGTGATTGCTGACCTTGTCGACTGACTACCTGGATATTCCTCTTGCAACTGACTAGTCACAGGTTCCCATGTCCCTTGACCTAGGCTAGGTTTGGGGTGGCTTAGCTTAGATGCCATCCTTCCCAACCTACCCTTCATCACTGACCCACACATAGTCCCACAGGGCACAGTTTTGGAAGGATTTCTATACCTCCTGCCCAGTGCTTCGCTGTGAACAGGCTGCCAAGTTTCTCAGACAACCCACCCAGGTCAGGCACTGCCCTCAGAGGACCAGCAGCTCAGTGGAGGTAGGCCTGCAGCTGCTAGAGAAAGGCCTCATTATTTATTTTTCATTGTGAGAAAAATACATACCAAAAAATTTACCATTTTAACTTTTTTTCCCTCCAGTGTTGGGAATGGAACCCAGAACCTTGCACATGCCAGTCAGGTGCTCTAACACTGAGCTACACTCCCAGCCCATCTTGACTAATTTTAAGTGTACAGTTCCATAGTGTTGTATGTGTTCACAGTGTTGGGAAATAGAGCTCCAGAACATTTCCTTCTTACAAACTGAAGTTCTGTACCCATTAAACAACTCCCCATTTCCCACTCCCATTCCCCCTGCTCCTGGCAACTGTGTTCTACTTCCTATCTCTATATACTTGACTACTCTATTTATCTCATATCAGTGACATCATGCATTATTTGTCCTTGTGTGACTGGCTTATTTTACTTCATATATTATCCTCAAGGTTCATTTGTTTTGTACCAGATGTCAGAATTTCCTTCTTTTTTAAAAGGCTGAATAATATTCCACTGTTTGTCTTTCCCACATTTTGTTTATCCTTTGACCCATCAGTGGACATTTGGGTTGTGCCACTTTTTGATTGTTGTGAATAAAATTGCTATAAATATGGGTTTCAATTCTTTTGGATATATACCCCAAAGTGGAACTGTTGGAACATAGAGTAATTCTACTTTTATTTCTCCTGATGTCCTGTGGGGGACAGTGGTGGTCAGGTCTCCAAGGAGACAGGAGTTGGAGTCTCCCACCATAAGCCCTAAATTTCTAATTTTACAGATGAGAAAATTGAAGCCAAGAGGCCACTGTCAGTAAGTGGCAGCAGTAGGCCTTTGAACCCAGGTCTGTACTAACTATGGAGTCTTTGCTTTTAATCTCAGGGCCATATTTCTCTCTGCTTCAGAATCTCCATCCACGTGCAAGAGATGGATACTCCCGGGGAACTTCTTGTGACACGACGGGGCAGCCTCAGACCCACTCCTTCTGCAGAGGTTCCAGCAGCTGCCCATCCCAGTGAGCAGGACTTGCCTGGGCCCAGGTGCTGCTCCGAAGCTCCTGGGACTGAGCTGGGAGAACAAAACCCCAAAGAAGCCAAAGAGTTTATCCCACTGCAGAAGAGAAGCACCGAGGCGGGAGCAGATGCTGAGGAGAAGCAAGGGCCTGTGGCTGAGCCTGCCACAGGACCAAGCTTCATCAGGAGGGACAAGGGAGATGACCCTGCTGGGACCTCAGCCCTGCAGCAGGACAAAAACTTAGGAGCAGGACATCCTGAGCCTGGGAATGACTGTGCAGCTGGGGTCATTCCAAGAACTGAAACAGGAAGGAGGACACCCCCAGATGATGGGGCTGGCAGCCTGGTTCTGGGTAAGTGAGGCTGCTGCCTGACTTGACACAAGGCCAGAAGTGAGTGGATTGGGAGGCTATATTCCTGGGGTTGCTTTCTGAGGCTTTCAGGGTTGGTTTAGCAGGTCTGGGAGAGTCCAAGACTTGACAACAGCCTACTTATACATCCTGGGGTTGGACACCAAGGCACAGAGACAGAAAGACTGAAAACTCTGATCAGCTTGGTATTAGGGTAGGAGGGACCCATGTGGCCCATCTGGGTATATTTCTCAAAACCACCTGCTGCCTGAGCTTTCACCATTGGTATTACTTTGGTTTGAGACAGGGAAGACTCCTGTCCAAAAAAAAAAAAAAAAAGATGACATTAACTGGTATTTATAACCATCATTGGCCATTTGTGACAGGGAAGCTGATTTTCTTCAGGACAAGGAGGAGGTACTAGGACTGCTAACCTGCTTACCATCCCAGGGTGGTGGGAGGCATCCTTGTGTTCTTGTGATCCTGAGGCTCTAAACCCCTCCATCCCTGGGGTTATCTTCCTTTGTCAGAGTTTGCAGAACATTGTGAGTGATCCCTGCAGCCAGAGAGCCAGCAGCATTCTCCTATGACAAGCTCTGAACAAATGCCAATCCAAGCCCCTGATCTCCTGCCTCAGCATCTTCCAGCCCTTCATGTACAAATTGGTTTATGTTATTGTGTTTGATGCATATTCTGGATTCTGTTTTATTTCTTTACTCTATTTCATGAAACATTTCTAGGAATTCCTGTCACCGCTGAAGGACAAGAAAACCCTAAGTCATTAGTTTTGATCTTTCCAAGTATAGGCTATCCTTTATTTCTCCTCCAGATCCACCTGTGCCCTTGGAGCTGCCTCTTAGGGGCTCCATTGCAGGCTCTCTGGCCTTTGGTTAGAATCAGCTGAAGGTGAGAGAAGAGAAAGGATGGGGTGTTTATTTCTACAGCTGCCTCCCTATCACATCATCTTTTCTGATCTCTGTAGCCCTCTTTTGCCTTTAAAAATAGTCTCCTCCTTAAACTCTGCTTGCTCAACCTTTCCAGTATGCACTGTTTCCTGCAGGCTTGCACTAACCCATCCAGGATTCCCCTTCTAGACCTCATGAGTAGGCTGCCAAAATGTCTTGACCTTGCAAACAGCACTGTCCTAGTGGCCAGGAGACTTGGATTTGCCTCCTATCACTGTCACCCTGTGTAATCTTGGACCAGTCCCCTCACCTCTTTGAGACTCAGCTTCCTTCTCTGCCAAATGGGTGGCTCAAGTAAGATTATTCTTGAGAAGGGGCTTTCAAATCCTTGGATTGTAGGAAAGGCAAAGGGCTTGTTACCTGGTAAACCAAATGTAATTGAGTGGGTCTGGGATGGGTGGCTGCATATAGGAAACTCACCGATCTCTTGTTTCCTAAACAGATGACAGCCCAGCTCCACCAGCCCCTTTTGAACACCGGGTGGTGAGTGTCAAGGAGACCTCCATCTCAGCAGGTTACACGGTGTGCCAGCATGAAGTCTTGGGAGGGTAGGTGGGCTGTCTGCCATGATAAGGAGTGGGAGGAGGAATAGCAGGGCAGAACCACTTGGAGAATGAACTGGGGCACTGCTAGGTAATTCTCAGGAACTGGTTAATTGAACCAAAGCCAGGAATGGGATATCTTTTAGAGCATGAGAATGGGGTGAAGAGATTATCCCTAGAGTGCAGGATGCCCACATGGTATGGATGAGGGGAAGTACAGGGGGACCCATGTGGTACGATATGGGAGCATCTTGGAGATGGAAGGAGATCCAACATAGGTGCAGTGAGTATGCCCTCTCTGGTGCAGGATAGCTCATGTGGTGTGGAGTGGTGAGAGACATGTTCCCTGGGGTGCAGTACTGGAGTAGGGCAGGGAGGGTTTCCCTTAGGGTGTAGAGTAGACCATATAGTGGGGATCATGAGGTTATTTTCTAGATGTCAGGGTAGCCCATGTGGTGTGGGGCCTGTGACTAGGATAGTGCAAATGGTATGTGTGTGTGTGGGGGGGAAGGAGTAGGACCAGGAAGCTCAGGGGACAGATGGCTTACCACATGTGGGGTGAGCTTCTTGTATTCTCAGGCTGCTGTGTTCATGTGTCTGTAGGGGCCGGTTTGGCCAGGTTCACAAGTGCACAGAGAAGTCCACAGATCTCCCACTGGCCGCCAAGATCATCAAAGTGAAGAGTGCTAAAGACCGGGTAAGGCATCTGCCAGCAGATCCTTCTAGCCAAGCTCAGGACTCCCTCACTTCCTTCACAGCCCCCTGCACCCACATTGCCCCTCCATACTGAGTAGGAAAGCTGCTGCCTTTCTTGCCTCTTTCCCATGACTCCTATACTTCACTCAGCAGTCACCTCACACTCCTCAGTTCAGACACACCTGCCTACATGTGGGGGTCATGGCATGGCTTCTGCCAAGAGGCCTGTGGGACCCTGGGCAATAAGGCTCATTAATTCTTGGGCCTTGGGTTTAGTATCTTTTGAAATGGGTGAATCAAATTTAGGTCCTTCCTATTGCAAAACCCTGGTTTGGGTGGTGAGGCAAGGAGACCTGGTGTGACAATAGGATATTTTTCGAAAAGGATGAGGGGTGTCTGTCTGTCTGTCTTGGGAGGTACAGCTCTCTCCTCTTTCTGACCTATTTGCTTGCAAATTCTTTCTCCTCTGGTTCTACAAGGAGGATGTGAAGAATGAGATCAACATCATGAACCAGCTCAGCCATGTGAACCTAATCCAGCTCTATGATGCCTTTGAGAGCAAGAACAGCTTTACCCTGGTCATGGAGTAGTGAGTGTCATAGACACGGGGGCAGTGGCTTCTCCTCAGGTTAGGTGCAAGGTTGGATCTTAGAGCCTTTGTTTATTCTAAGCAAAGCTCTTTGTCTCTCCTCCCCTCACTGGAACACAGACAACCATGCAATCCCCTTTTTTTTCTGGCTTGGCTGCTTGAACCCCAGTGTGGGGCATGGAGGACAAAGCCATTTTGTTACAAACAAGTGGCTACTGAGCCTGATTTAACTTGCAGATATTTTGTTAGTTTGACCTAAAGAATTTTTGCTGATTTTGAATGAGTTGTTTACATTGGGAAATTTAGGTAATAGAAATTGGAAAATCTAGATATCTGGCTTTTCTTGAAAACGAAAAGAGTCTAGTAATGCTTAGCCTGCATTCCTTGCTAGAAACGGTGAGCTGGAGCTCTCAGTGACTGCCATTTGTGGACAGGACAGCCACTCATTTGCCGCAATGCCTACCATTTCCCACTACCCTGGGCATTGAAGTTGTGGTCTCAGAGGCCATTTAGAATTAGGCTCATGTGGTTGTTTTGCTTTCGGCAGGGCTGAGGAGAGCAATCATTTGTCATATGGTGTCTCTATCAAAAGAAAAACAAAAGACTAAGGATTGTGTGTTTTCATAAAACTTTTATCTCACATTCGGTCAAATTTGCCCATTAAGGCTTCTTGCCACTTAGGAACTAGTTGGCTCCCCACTAAGTAGAAGAGTTTGCAGCCCTGATTTAGATTATTCAGAGTCAGGGATTATCAATCTGGAAGACCATCCCATACTTTTTGCCAGGAATGGGCTAGAATACAGGTATTCCAGAAAACTCAGATGGCAGTGGCAGTAGCCCTGTGACCCATGGGATACAGCCAACTTTGTGTTCTCTTAGGCCATGACTTTGTTCTCTTAGACCAAAGACTTTGGTCCTTGGCAAAAACAGTGGGCAAATCCTTTGAGAACTTTGCTTATTTAGCTGCCTGCCTCTCCCTTTCCTCTGTTAGTGTGGATGGGGGTGAACTTTTTGACCGGATCACAGATGAAAAGTACCATCTGACGGAACTGGACGTGGTCTTGTTCATCAAGCAGATCTGCGAGGGTGTGCATCACCTCCACCAGCACTACATTCTGCACCTAGACCTCAAGGTAAGTTCTAGGGATGTGGTAGGTGGGAGCCCAGTTCTTGAGCCTCTGATGTACTCCCATCCCATCACTGAGAGCTCTGTTAATAGATAATCCTGGTTTCCCTTTCTGGCTCCCCTATTTTCTAGTTCTGGAGCCTAGAGCAGACTAGTCATGTCAACTTCCTGAGCCTCTGTTTTTCCATCTGTAACTTGTGGATAGTTGTATCTTTTTAAGTATTATTTGAAGATTAAATGAGACAATAACTTTTTTCTTTAAAAATATCTTTAAGATTAATTTTTTAAAGTTCAAAAAGTTACATATTCTAAATGTGTATCAAATACACAGTATAGAAGTTCTTCCCATTCCACACTGAGAGCTCTCTATGAGTAACATGGCATGATACACAAACCTATAAATATACACAAAAGGGATCATATATGTATGTATCTTGGTTTTGAGCTTCCTTTTTATATATATGTATCTTTGGTTTTGAGCTTCTTTTTTTTTTTTTTTTTTGCAGAGGTGGTATTGGGGTATTCTACCCCTATCACAGAGCTATATCTCCAGCCTTTTAAATTTTTTTGTTTTGTAATTTTGAGACAGGGTCTCACTAAATTGCTGAGGCTCACCTTGAACTTGGAATCTTCCTGCTTTAGCCTCCCAAGTCATGGGGATTATACGCATGTGCCACTATGCCTGGCTTAAGCTTACTTACTTAAATTCAACAATACAGAGTAGACATCTTTCCCCATTCTTTTTAAGGGCCATGTGATATTCCATTGAATAAACATATTACACTTTCATTTGTCCCCTGAGGAGTGTTCTTGGTGTGACATGTACATAAAGTCCCAGGCAAAGTCCCTGGATGGTAGTTAGATAAATTTCTGTGATTTTCCATTCCATTGGACAAACATGAGGGTGTTTCTCTACAACTCATTTCAAGAAGGGAAAGAATTTCAATGTAGAAGATGGGAAGTGGTTTGATGCATCTGTAGGGCTGTGCTTTGCTCCTTCTGACCATTTTTCCTAATTGGCATCTAACTGTTAGGTTAGGATACTCAGAAAAATAACGGAGATGGTGGGGAACTGGCCTCAGTCKTCTTCTGCTCATTAGTACTAATGCCAAGGCTTCTGGGTCCATCTTTCTCTGTGGGGTAAAAAATTATGGAAAGCTTAGGAATATGCTCTGTAGTTCTGTGTCAAAGACCAACCAGCTTTGGAGGCAATTTCTGTGACCCCAATAATACAGTTAATTACCAAGGCCCATTTCCCAGTGACAAGATGGGACACATTGGTTTTTCTCCTGTCTGGTTGTGAAACTTGGGAAAGTTCCTTGAGCTCACCAATTGCAAGATGGGGAATAATACCTGAATAAGAATACCTATTTCCGGGGCTGGAGATGTGGCTCAAGTGGTAGCGCGCTCGCTTAGCATGCGTGAGGCACTGGGTTCATTTCTCAGCACCATATAAAATAAAACAAAGATATCGTGTCCACCTAAAACTAAAATAAATAAGTAAATATTTAAAAAAAAAGAATAACTATTTCTTATTAGTATTGTGTGGATTAAAAATGGTGGAAGAGTTTCTGAGCTGCACTGTCCAATACAGGGGCTATCAAGCACTTGAAATGTGGCTAGTTTAACTGAGGAATAAGATTTTAAGTTTTATTAATTTTAATTTAAAAACTGATACTTGATTCAGTTATTGGAAAATTTTTAGTAGTATGTCTGGAACAACTTGGGTTTATTTTTTATCTACAAATTTCAAGGACTCTAAATACAAATAAAATAGCTCTGATGAAAACTTAGGATCTGAATTGAGATGAATTCTTTGGTTTAAAATACTGAATTCCAGGGGCTGGGATTGTGGCTCAGCAGTAGAGTGCTTGCCTCACACGTGTGAGGCACTGGGTTCAATCCTCAGCACTACATAAAAATAAACAAAATAAAGGTATTAAAAAAACAAACATATTTGTCTTTAAAAAATACGGAATTTCAGGGAACTTATGTGAAAAAAGAATGGAAAATATTTCCTTGATATTTTAGTATTTATAACCTATTGAAATGTTACTATTTTGGGTGTATTGAATTAAATAAAATATTTTATTCAAATAAATAAATTCTAGAAAACATTTGGAGATGAATGAAAATGGAAAAAAAAAAAACCCACCAGCATAGCAAAACTGATGGGATATATCTAAACCAGGAAGGAAATTTATAGTTGTAAATATCAGTATTAAAAAGAAAGAAATAGCTGGATATAGTGTCAACCACCTGTAGTCTCAGCTTCTTGGGAGGCTGAGCCAGGAGGATTGCTTGACATCAGGACTCTATTAAAAAAAAGAAAACAGGAGTTGGGGCTGTAGCTCAGTGGCAAGTGCTTGCCTAGCATGCATGAGGCACTGAGTTTGATCCTCTGTACCACATAAATATAAAATAAAGATATTGTGTCCACCTGAAACTAAAAAATAAATATTTTTTAAAAAAGCATAAGCAAAGGGAAAAAAGGGCAAATTAGACTTCATCTAAGGAAAAAACCTTAAATGTGCTTTAAAGGATACCATCAAGAAAGTGAAATGAAATAAGTGCTGGCGAGGATGTGGGGGAAAAGGCACACTCAAACATTGCTGGTAGGACTTCAAGTTGGTGCAACCAATCTGGAAAGTAGTAGGAGATTCCTTTAAAAACTTAGAATAGAACCACCATTTGACCCAGCTATCCCACTCCTTGGTCTATACTCAAAGGACTTAAAAACAGCATACTACAGGGACACAGCCACATTAATGTTTATAATAGTACAATTCACAATAGCCAAACAGTGGAACCAACCTAGATGCCCTTCTATAGATGAATGGATAAAGAAACTGTGGTATATATACACAATGGAATATTACTCAGCATTAAAAGAGAATAAAATTATGGAACTTACAGGTAAATGGATGGAGTTGGAGAATATCATGCTAAGGGAAATAAGCCAATCCCCCAAAACCAAAGGCCTAATATTTTCTCTAATAAGTGGATGCTAATTCATAATGGGGGGTGGGGTGCAGGGGACAAGTAGAGAAACTTTGGATTGGGCAAAAGGGAAGGATGGGAGGGGATATGGACATCATTATCCTAGGTACATGTATGATTGCACCAATGGAGTGACCCTACTTCGTGTACAACCAGATAAGTGGAAAATTGTGCTCCATTTGTGTACAATGAATTCAAGAGCATTATAGTGTCATGTATACTGACTAGAACAAATTTTTTAAAAAAGAAAGTAAAATGAAAGCTCACAGAATGGGAGAAAATATTTCCAAATCATGTATCTGATAAGCGACTTATACCTAGAATATAAAAATAACTCCTACAACTCAATAATAGAAAAGCAAATAAGCCTTTAAAAATGAAGAACGTATTTAAATAGACACTTATCCAATGAAGACATATAATGGTCAAGAAGTATGTGAAAAGATTCTCAATACCATTAGTCATTAGGGAAATGTAAATCAAAACCACAATGAGGTACTACCTCATATCCCCTAAACTGGCTAAAATAGAAAATTGAAATGACAATAAGAAGTGATGGTTAGGTGTGGAAAAATTGGAAAACTCCTGCATTACTGGTGGGTTATAAAATTGTGCATCTACTTTTAAAAAAGAGCTGGGTGGACAGTACCTAAAAATGTTAAAAATAGAATTACCATATGACTATGCAGTTTTACTCCTAGTTATATATCTCAGAGAATTGAAACACAGTCAGCATGAAAACTTGTAAACAAACGTTTTTAGCAGTCTTATTTGTAATAGCCAAAAAGTACAAACAACCTGGATGTTTATTAACCAATAAAGAGATAAAATGTAGCACAAATCCATATATCAAATACTATTTAGCCATGAAAAGAAATGAGGTACTGATATATATTACAACATGAACCTTGAAAAATTATATCAAGTGAAAGAAACTGGATGTCCAAGGCCACATATATATTATATGATTCCATGTAGGTGAGATGTCCAGTATAGGCAAATCCAAAGAAACAAAATAACACTAGTGGTTGCCAGTATTTGAGGGGGRGGAAAGAATAGACAGTGTCTTATGATGGGAATGATTTTTATTTTAATTTTCTTAAGATATTTTTTAGCTGTAGATCTATACAATATTTTATTTTTATTTAATTATTTTTATGTGGTGCTGAGGCATGTATGTGAGGCAAGTACTCCGCAACTGAACTACAACCCCAGCCCTTGTTTTATTTTTTGAAGTGATGAAAATGTTCTAGAATTAGTGGTAATAATTGCACAATTCTGTGACTATACTAAAAGTCACTGAGTTATATATTTTAAAGTGGTGAATTTTGGTTCAGGAGGCTGAGACTGGAGGCTCACAAGTCAAAGCCAGTCTCAGCAACTTAGGCTCTAAGCAACTCAGTAAGACCGTGTCTCAAAATAAAAAATAACAAAAGGCTTGCGATGTGGCTCAGTGTTAAGTGCCCCTGGGTTCAATCCCTGGTACCAAAAAAAAAAAAAAAAAAATATATATATATATATATATATATATATATATATAATCATTATTATTTATATTTTGTTAATGTTATAAAATTTTCATCTGTTTTTACTTTTTACTTTTTTTTGGTACTGGGGAGTGAACCCAAGGGCACTTAACCACTAAGCCACATCCCTAGCCCTGTTTTGTATTTTATTTAGAGACAAGGTCTCACTGAGTTGCTTAGCACCTCGCTTTTGCTGAGGCTGGCTTTGTACTCAAGATCTTCCTGCCTCAGCCTCCCAAACTGCTGGGATTACACTGCGACTGTCTGTTTTTACAGAAAACTTTCAATAATGTGGCTTATGTTATATTTATATTGGATGGTGGTATTCTAGACCGAGATCTAGAAGACAGAGATTTTTAAAATATCAATCTTCTGTACCTATCTGGGGAATTGCACACTTTATAACAGATAACAGTCAATTCTTTTGCTGAGAAATTCAATACCTGACATTTACTTTAGAAGATGTGAAGTGTTCCTGCGTGTCATTTGATCCTCTGACTCTCCCAGGAATATAGGCAGGAAGTGGTATTGTTCCCATTTTAAAGATGAAGATACTGAGGTTCAGGAATGGGAAGGGACTCATCTAGGGCTACAGAATCAGATAATGGGTGCCTGGACCTCAGGCACTGGACCCTAAGTCTCTATGTCCTTTCTATCTTAAGCCCTCCATCTTTACTCAGCTCTCCCACCATCCCAAATTTGTCATGTTCAAGCAGCAAGCATTGTTTCAGGCTACCTAAGCGTCTAGGAGCTGATCAGAAAGACCTAAAAGTAAAAGCATATCAAGGCCACCAAATGGCAGGTTGACATTTAGCAGCTGTGTTTTCCTTGAGTGATGTTGTAGTCTCATCCCTGAGATGCCATTGTCATGGGTCAGGGCTGGGGCCTGCCACTGGGACTTTCAAAACTCCTTGATTCTAATGGGCAACTGGGGCTGGGAACCATTACTCCAAACCAACAGTCTCAAACAAGCAGCATGTGACCCAAATCTGTATCACAGAAGTGTTCTGTTTGGTTCCCACCCATAATGAATGTGTTTAAGTTTGATTTGGTTGTAGACATTTAAAAACATGGAATTTTCATATAAAACCCCATGTTTTTGGCTCCTTCTAAGGATTAATAGTTGTGTCTGCCCAGTGGCCAGTGGCTGGAGCTGAGCAGTGGCTGGCCTTTTGTATAGGCAGAAGTCTTCCAGTTTCTCACACTCTACAACCAATCCTTTTGGCTCATCAGCCCCTTTCATTTATTTTCATTATATAACCCTTGTAGGGCTGCCCCAAGTCATTAATTTATCTTGAAGGCTGGGAAACTGAGGCCTATAGACAAGTAAATGGGAGCTGTGGACCTCCTTAGCTGCTGATTGAGTTAAGCAGACTTCTCTTTTCTTTTTCAGCCAGAGAATATACTGTGTGTAAATCAGACAGGACACCAAATTAAGATCATTGACTTTGGGCTGGCCAGAAGGTAAGGGGATGATTTTATTTTGATACTTTGACAAAACTCCTCAAAATGTCAGATACTGGGCTGGGATTGTGGCTTAGCTGTAGTGCACTTGCCTAGAATGTGCGAGGTGCTGGGTTCGATCCTCGGCACCATATAAAAATAAAAAAATTAAAAAATAAAGGTATTGTGTCCAACTACAATGAAAAAAGAATGTCAGATACCATTTACCACATGGGTATTTACAGTGACACACTGTGATCTGAGAGTAAGAAGCAACCACCTCTGGAGTCAGGGAAGGCTTCTCTGAATAGCCAGAAGGGATGGATGGATAGGATTTGTTAACAGTGAGCAATGGTGTGCTGGCAAATGTTTAACCACGAGCTGAAGAGGTGGAAAGTGAGAGGATGTAAGGTTGATTTGTAATGTTTACCAATTTTTGCTAATTTCAAGCAACCAATATAACATCACTGAATAGTTGGGAGGAGGTGCACATAATAGACTTTGGTGCAGCTGCGAGAGTTGGTGGAGGCAGGGGAGACAATGTGAGTTATGGGACCAGAAAAGTGTATATGCTGTGTATGAGCAGGCTGGTCTGAGAGAGATATGGTAGAAAATGAGGGTGCTAAATGAGGAGTCATGAATGTTAGGTTCACAAATTTACATGTTATCCTATAGGCCATTGAGTTGAACCTGGTAGGGAAGTGAAAAGGGCTGAAAATTAGTCAAAAGCTCTGTGGGGAGAGCATGCAGGTTCAGAAAGCATGTTCTATACTTCAGAATAACGAAATGTTTATAAAGACAATACGAACCATAAAAAAGCTGTTGTACTTTTGGATGGGGATTTGAAAGATGCTTAGATTTACAGCTCCTGGCAGAGTAGAGGTATACAGAAATCTTCAGAGGCCCTAGCATTCAGAAAGAGGAAACCAGGGTAACCCAAGCTGGACAATGAAGCCATCAGTGGATCTAAGTAATGACTTGTTAAGGGTAAAGGATGAGAACAGGATGGGAGATATCTTGTTTAAGCTGGATCTCCAGTATGTTGGAAGTCTCCCAGCTCCCAGACCAGGGTTCAAATTGGAATTAGAACACAAAATCATTTTTATCAGGTCCTGAGCAGGGCAAGGGGGTGCTTATTCCAAGTGATATGAGACTTCCTATATCAGACTATGGTCATAGAGGAATCTGGAGGGAGGGTTTTGTTGGATATTTTGACACAGTTTTGGAGTGAATGCATAGATTAACTCTTGTCACAATACTGCTGTATTACAAACCACCCCAAAACCCTGTGAACTGAGAGTACGAAGCAACCACCTCTGGAATCAGGGAAGTCTTCTCTGAATAGCCAGAGAACAATGATGTATTCTTTTTAAAAATTTGTTTTAATTAGTTATACATGACAGTAGAATGCACTTATATACTTTGATGTATCATACATAGATAGGATATAATTTCTCATTTTTCTGAGTATACATATTATAGAATCACATTGGTCATATAGTCACATACATATATACAATAATAATGTCTGTTTCATTCTACTATTTTTCTTATTCTCCACATCCCCTGATGATGTATTCTCATATACACATTTGTGAGTTACCTCAGGTAATGGTATACTAAACCTAACTCAGTTGAAACCTATTGTACTAGTTGGAATTTTGTAATTCAGCTGTTAAACACAGCTATTATTAAAACTAAAACTATAAATTAAATTTCTTTATAATTAAAGAAATTACATTAAAAACTAAGATACCATGTACTAAAAACATCCTACCTAATTGTTTTACTACAGTCTATGTTCCTGAGGTTATTTATATCTCTTACAGCAGTATGGTAGAAATACTCCAGAATGGTGAGCAATTAAGCAGCTCTTCCCAAGTCTTCAGTTATTGACTTTATCATAGTACCTTGAAATCAGCCATGGGAAATTAGTATTTACACCCCAGTAATTGGCAAATGCTACAAATCAGGGCTTTTTTTTTTTTTTTTTTTTTGTGTGTGTGTGTGTGTATAAACTAATAGCTAATTGTTAAACATTTATCTCCACACCACTGGCTGAGAGTCAGTTGATCTAGGCTGAGCTTAGATCCAAGATGTGATCAGTGAGTTCACATCAGCTCCATGTGTATTTCATTCACTTCTCATATTAATAATGGTAGAAGAGCAAGAGGACAAGCTCTCACGGCCTAGATAAGAATTGGTCCAATGTCACGTCCACCCATATTCTGTTGGGTGGAACTCATATGGCCAACCCCAACATTAAGGGGAGGAGTCAGGGCTGGGGATGTGGCTCAAGCAGTAGCGCGCTCGCCTGGCATGTGTGCAGCCCGGGTTCGATCCTCAGCACCACATACCAACAAAGATGTTGTGTCCGCCGAGAACTAAAAAATTTAAAAAAAAAAAGGGGAGGAGTCAATGAATATATTATACTTTTAGTGAAAGGGACACAATGAGGCATTGGGAATGATAATGCCATCTGGGAAGGTGAGTTCTAGGGGTTGAGAGAAAAGGCCTTCTCTTCTTGAGAGGAAGGCTGCGTCCTCTCATTTTTCCTCCTTTACCGAAAGTATTGGGCCAGTTGCTAGTACAGGGGAAGATTGGATTGCCAGAGGAGGGTTTACATGCTCTCTCAGCTTCTTGGTGGAAATCCCATCAACCCCTTGTGGTTCTTTCCCTGGATGAATGTAGGTTGTATTGGTCCTAGGTCTGTATTTACCTGGATCCCAGTAAATTGGAAGAGAAGATTCTTTAGAAAGTGGTTTGAAGGAAACAGGGTATTTTGGCAGAATAATTATTTGATTCATTTTATTCTTAATTGACTCATCTATAAGATGAAGACAATAACCTTACCTTACCTATTTCATAGGGCTATTGTGAAATGAAAGGTATAATATTGGTATGTAAAAAAATTTTAGCACAGTACCTGACAGAAAGTACCCACTAAATTTTAACTAGAGATTTTCTTTTCCTTTTAGAATGATTCTAAAAACTACAGTTTGCCACCCTCTTCCACTCAGCCATCAACTCTCTTTTGAGCTTTGCTTAAACTTCTTGCCCATAACATCTTCTAATTCTTTGTTTTGGGAATCATGATTTTAAAAACTCACATAATATGGGCTGGGGATGTGGCTCAAGCGGTAGTGCGCTCACCTGGCATGCGTGCAGCCCGGGTTCGATCCTCAGCACCACATACAAACAACCATGTTGTGTCCGCCAAAAACTGAAAAATAAATATTAAATAATTCTCTCTCCTCTCTCTCTCTTTAAAAAAAAAACTCACATAATATAAAATTTACCACCCAATGTCCATAATTGTATGAGTGAATAAAGGAAATGTAGAATATATATGAAATAAAATACTATTTCACCTTAAAAAAAGGAAGTATTATTTGAAAATATATGACCCTGGAGGACATTATATTAAGTAAAATAAGTCAGGCATAGAAAAACAAATATAGCATAAGCTCACTAATATGTGGACTCTAAAAAGGATGATATTATAGAAGCAGAATAGAATGGTGGTTACTAGGGGGAGAGTTAGTGGCATTGGGGAGATATTGGATAAAGAATACAAAATTTCAGCTGGGCATGGAGGCTTATGCCTATAATCCCAGCAGCTCAGGAGACTAAAGACAGGAGGATCGTGAGTTTAAAGCCAGCCTCAGCAAAAGCAAGCAACTCTGTGAGATCTGTCTCTAAATAAAGTACAAAATAGGGCTGGGGATGTGGCTCAATGGTTGAGTGCACGAGTTCAATCCCCGGTACAGGGGGAAAAAAAAGATAACAAAATTTGAGAGAAGAAAAATAAGTTAAAGAGATTCATAGAACAACATGGTGACTATAATTAATAACATATGTTGCGTATTTGAAATTGCTAAGAAAATAGATTCCAAGTGTTCTCACCACATAAAAATAAGTGAGGTACATGTTAATTAGCTTGATTTAGCTATTTCAAAAGCTATACATATACCAAAAACACCATGCTATACGTCATAAATAAATATACAATTTTTGCCATTTAGGATAAGATAATTGAAAAAATTACCATCTTAATTTTTTAAGTGTACAGTAGTACAGCTGTAGTAGTGCATTATTGTACATTCAGCCTCTAGAACTCTCTCATCTTTTAAAACTGAAACTCTATATCCATTAAATAATAACTTCCCATTTTTCCCCTGCCTCCAACCCTTGGTAACTACCATTTTATTTTCTGTTTCTATAAATTTGACTGCTCTAGTTACCTCCCATCAGTGGAATCACATGGTATTTATGACTAGTTTATTTCACTTAGCATGTCTTTACATTCATCCATGTTGAAGCCTGTATCAGAAATTTCTTCCTTTTTTTTTGAGAGAAATTTTTTTTTAATATTTATTTTTCAGTTTTTGGTGGACACACATCTTTTATTTTTATGTGGTGCTGAGGATCAAACCCAGTGCCCCATGCATGCCAGGCGAGCGCGTTACCGCTTGAGCCACATCCCCACCCCGGAATTTTCTTCCTTTTTAAGGCAGAATAATATTCTGTTTTCTTTATTCATTCATCTGCCAATGATCACTTGGGTGGCTTCTACCTTTTTGCTATTTTAAGTAATGCTACTATGAACATGGGTATATACATATCTTTTGGAAACCCTACTTTTAATTATTGCAGATCTACTTACCCAGAAGTGGAATTGCTACATCACATGGTAATTCTATTTTTTAACTTTTTGGGTAACTCCCTTCCTATTTTCCATAGGGCTGCCCCGTTTTACATTCCCAACATAAATTTTCTAGTACTTCTACAATCTAGTTGAAATTCCCTTCCTTCCTTTCTACCTTCTATGAGGTATATATACTTATGGGGGTTCAGTAAAGTGGTATCACTTTGTTGTTTTGATTTACATTCCCTAATGATAAGTAACAAAATCTTTTCTTCTTCTTCTTCTTCTTTTTTTTTTTTTTTTTTTTTTGGTACTAGGGATTGAACGCAGGGGCACTTAACCACTGAGGCATATCCCCCTCCCTTTTTATATTTTGAGACAAGGTCTAAGATGCTGAAGCTGACTTTGAACTTGGAATCCTCCTGCCTCAGCTTTCTGAGCTGTTGGGATTACAGGCGTGCACCACCATGCCTAGCTTCTTTCTTTTTCTAATTCTTACCATCATCCCTCAAGTCACTTTGTGCACATTGACAGAGCAGTCCCTTCCCAACATCTTCTATCCCATTTGTACTCACTCGTGTAGCTGAATAGTCCAATAAGATGTATTGATATTCTCTCCTTTTTTGGCTGTAAATGCCTAGAAAAGGATTGTGGTTTTCTGTAAGCCACATGTGTGGTGTGCGAGGTCCAGGCAATATGCTGGACAGAGGGTCAAACAATGTTTCCTCCCACCAGGAATTAGTCCCAGTATTCACATCTTCTTCCATGTTTCTCTTCATTCTCAGGTACAAGCCTCGGGAAAAGCTGAAGGTGAATTTTGGTACTCCTGAGTTCCTGGCCCCAGAAGTTGTCAACTATGAGTTTGTTTCATTCCCCACCGACATGTGGAGTGTGGGAGTCATCACCTACATGCTGTGAGTGCTTAGGGGCTCTGAGGTGGGGCTGGAGACCACTTGTTTTACTCTGGGTATCCTTTGGAGCAGCAAAAACTTGAACACAAGTAGTTTATTTGGGAAGTGTTCCCAGGAAACACAAAATACAAGAGTAGGGTAGAGAGATGGGAAGATAGCCAGTTAAGGGAGTGAATCAAGCCAGTTAACCATATTTACTAATGGATCCTATTTCTTTTTTGTTGTTGTTGTAGTTGGACACAATATCTTTGTTTTATTCATTTATTTTTATGTGGTGCTGAGGATTGAACCCAGTGCCTCACACGTGCTAGACGAGTGCTCTACTGCTGAGCCCCAGCCCCCAAAGTTACCAATTATAATAGGCTAATATGGGAGAAAAAATTAAGATATAAAGTTGTCATTCCCCAAAATAAAAGTCTGAATACCTCATTTCTTCATAATGAAGGCTTACTTAGGATTTAGCACTCTATCAAAGTCATGGATTGATAGTCATGGGTTGATAGTCATGGGTTGAGCCACTGAGTTTTTGAGACTCAAGACATAAAATAATAATTGAAAATAACCAATGCGGTAAGGCCCATCTTCAGGCAATTGAAATTTAATTCTACCAGGGAACTCTGGAATCATTGTGGAGTACTTACTGAGTTATTTATATACCAATTTTTATTTGTTCTTGTTTGCGGGTTGATCCCAGGTATGTATGTGAGGGTAGAATTAATTTCCTGKTTAGTAAAGCAAGATTTAATTGGAAAAGCTTCAGAAAAGAAATGCAGGTACTTTGTCAGCGGGGGCTGGAATGTATCAAAGGCTAAGGCAAGGGGATGGGCAGGTTGGACACTATTGTGTCATCTTACTTTGTCACTTCTGACTCTGTCTCCTTGTTCTCTACAACTGTGGACTCCCCTTTGCTATTTTTTTTAGAGGCAAAAGTTGTGTTTTACTTCTTTTTCTCATCATTACTGTGTTACTGCTACCTACATCCCTGCACTTTGTGTCTGCTGCATCAGGCTGGGGAATTTTAGAGTCAGACACTTAGGTTACCCTGCCACTCAGTCCTGAATTTAGCAGGAGCCTAACAAAGCCAATTTCCCTTTGGCTGAAGGTGAGGGTAGTATCTGAATGACCCTGCTTGTTGAAGAGACATGGAAAACTATTTTTAAATTAAATTAATGTATTCTGTAGCCAGTATGGAAAGCAATATGGGGATTCCTTAGAAAATTGGGAATGGAACCACCTTTTGACCCAGCTATCCCACTCCTTGGTCTATACCCAAAGGTCTTAAAAACAGCATACTGCAGGGACACAGCCACATCAATGTTTACTGCAGCACAACTCACAATAGCTAAACTGTGGAACCAACATAGATGCCCTTCAGTAGATGAATGGATACAGAAAATGTGGTATATATACACATTGGAATATTATTCAGCAATAAAAGAGAATAAAATCATGTCATTTGAAGGTAAATGGATGGAGTTGGAGAATATAATGCTAAGTGAAATTAGCCAATTCCAAAAAACCACATGCCAAATGTTTTCTCTGATATAAGGAGGCTGATTCATAGTGGGGTTGGGAGTGGGTGTATGGGAAGATTAGATGAACTCTAGAAAGGGCAAAGGGGAGGGAGTGAAAGGGAGGGGGCAAAAGGGTAAAAAAGATGGTGGAATGAGATGGACATCATTACCCTAAGTATATGTATGAAGACATGAATGGTGTGAATATACTATGTATACAATCAGAGATATGAAAAATTGTGTCTATATGTGTGACATGAATTGTAATACATTCTGCTTTCATATATAACAAATTAGAATAAAATTATTATATTCTGGACGTACTGAGTTGACAAAAGAGGTGAGAATGATAGGGAACTTATTCCAAATACCATTCCTACCTCTAAAGTTTTAAACCTTCTGTCTCCTTCTCTTAACAAACACGCTGAACTGTATCCTATGAAGAAATAATACGAGTATTTTTCTTTTGAAGCCTTTTGATTCTGGTTAGGTCTGTTTGACCCTCATGTTTCTTCTCTATTCTTTTGAAGTGTCAGCAAATGTGGCTTCCATAAACTGATGGTTCTTTCTCTCTTCTATAGACTCAGTGGTTTGTCCCCATTCCTAGGGGAAACAGATGCAGAAACCATGAATTTTATTGTGAACTGTAGCTGGGATTTCGATGCTGACACCTTTGAAGGGCTGTCAGAGGAGGCCAAGGACTTTGTTTCCCGGCTACTTGTCAAAGAGAAGAGGTACCCTTTACTGCTTGTCATGGACCATTCTGATGGTTACCCTAATCTGGGTGCTGTTCTGGCTTGTTGAGTCCTTCCTTTCTTTAGGATTTCTTAGTCTGTATTTCTTCAGAACAATAAAGGGAGCAGAGGAAGGGACAAAAGAAATCAATTTTAAAACAACTAGAAGCATAAGCTCTAGGAGAGTTTTATAAAAATGCATTATTTACAAATGGGTCACATTTTCAAGTTATAACTAAAAAAAAAAGTCAAGAAAAAAAATCATCATTCTCCAGAATAAAGGTCTGAATATCTAATTTCTTAGTGATGGAAACCTATGCTGACTTCTTCAGCTCTTATTAAAGTCATGGGTTGAACCATTGTGTTTTTTGATACTCAGACAAAATAGTAACTGAAAATAACCAAAAGTATTAGTGACCCAGGAGTAAGACTCAAGAATCTGGTCTCTAAGGCAGCTTATTGTTCTGTGATCTTCAGTTTTTTTCCTGATGGTGAAAGGTTATGTGAGAATAAAAATAATTCTAATTCAAAAGAATCACTTGACATTATCCTCTGTAAGGAAAAATAAACTTCCTTTAAGTGTCAGGTTCTTTCATCTATTAAGAGCAATCTGAGGTACAGATGGCCTTCTAATGCTCTGTTTCCTAGCCCTCTCTGGGTGGTGGAAATTAATCACTTCTGTAGAGGTCAGGGAACATTCTGATGGCAACTTACTGGCAATTTTAAGGAGCAAAATTTTAGATAACTAGGAGTTCCCTTTTTGGTATATGGCACGAATCTGTCTGAATCATTAATTTGTTCCACCGACTCAGGCTTCCATCCAATGGAAGTTTTGGACAACTAGAAAGGGTAACCTCAACTAAAAGTTTTGACTCCTATTTGATTTCACAGCTGCAGAATGAGTGCCACACAATGCCTGAAACATGAATGGTTGAATAATTTGCCCGCCAAAGCCTCAAAATCCAAAGTTCGTCTCAAATCCCAACTATTGCTGCAGAAATACATGGCCCAGAGAAAATGGAAGGTATTTTTTCTTTCAGTAAAGGCAACATTTATCTTCTGTACTTTGTAAGAGTTTTAGCTAAGTTTTTACTTACATTTTGATTTTGAATAATTTAGGGGAAAAAAAATCTATTCATATCAAAAGCCATTACTTGATTAAAATATACCACACACTAACTGGGTGCAGTGGTGCATGCCTGGAGTCCCAAGGATTTGGGAGGCAAGGCAAGAGGATCACAAGTTTGAGGCCAGCCTTGGCAACTTGGTAAGACCTCAGCAACTTAGGACTGGGGATATAGCTCAGTGGTAAAGCACTGAGGATTGATCCCCGGCACCAAAACAAGACAAAACTACACACCAAAACTAACTGGAATAAATGTGACTTTTAGTTTGTAGTTATATGGACACTTGAAATGGCAGAATGAAGTTGAGCATAGGTTCTCAGTGGTAATAGTAGTGAAGCTCCTGAACTAACTGGTTGTAGCTTGAGGCCTACTTTTCAAGCTACTGAAATGGGGGTTGAGAAAGTCCTATTTAAATTTTAAACATTTTATAATTTGTTTATAACAGAACTCATTCATACCATAGACATAGAAAATATCTTAAAAACAAGTAGCTTTCCAATATTTTGGTACGGACTCAGATCCTTGCAAAAAAACTAAAGCAGGGCTCATTAGTAGGATGCTTGCTTAGTATATGCAAGGCCCTAGTTTGATCCCCAGCACAAATATAATAAAACAAAATAAATCCCAAATCTTTATCTAGGGATCCAGCACATGTAGACACAGATGAAGCAAAATATTATTTCATTTACTGTAACAGTGTGACACATGCTTATATTTTTGGTTGTCATTTGGTTTCATAAGGAAAAAAACTGTTCACAATCCATGAACTTTTTTTTTTTTTAATATGTTTTTTAGTTGTAGACAGACACAATACCTTCATCTTATTTATTTATTCTTATGTGGTGCTGAGGATCGAACCCAGTGCCTCACACATGCTAGGCAAATGCTCTACCAACTGAGCTACAATCCTAGCCCCACAACCCGTGAATTTAATTACACAGTCTACTGGTGAGTTGTGATTCAGTTTGAAAAACACTGCTCTAGGGTGCTCCCCTTTTCATGTGAAAAGGGCAGAAAGACATCTCACTTCATACTTAACTTGAAACATGCCATTTAAGGTCATATAACTATTTGACTATAATTATTCTAGAAATTTGTTCTGAACAAACCCTAGTAGTAGATTTGTTTAAGTCATTATATCTTCTTAAAGCCATTGGTCTAAAAATATGCTTTCTCTTTTTATTTTTTTTAACTTCTTCCCTCAAGAAACATTTCTACGTGGTGGCTGCTGCGAACAGGTTAAGGAAATTTCCAACTTGTCCCTAATCTTCAACTCTGCTGCTCCAGTGGGCCCAGAAATTATTGAGGCCAGTGGTGATGTGAAGAGATGACTCAAGATTTTAAGTAATATGACCTTCTACTATTATTGATTCCTCTTATTTTGTAAAAAAAAGTTCTGGCTATTGCCTTATGGACAAAAGTGGCTAAAAAGAAAATATCTTAGGAGCTTTGTTTCCGCCTTGTAAGATCACTAGGTTTGAAATGCTGTGTTTACTTTTCAAGTATTCCTCCTTTTGACAATAAGCGTAGGCATGCTTAGGTAGGTAGGAAAGGTCCTACTTTGCATAGAATCAAATTAAATTCTAAACTTAATGTGATTAAAGAACTCAGTAGACACAAAGATATATTATTATTATCTCGTCCAGTACAAAGAATGCCAAAACAAGAATTCCTAGAAGTTTGATCTATCTTGAACTTCCTGCTCTAGTGTCAAACTATGTGGGCTTAGGACAGTAATCCTCAAATTTGTTTTAATTTATGCTCCCTTTGAGAATCAACATTGATGTGTATTCTTTAGTATCATTTGCAATCTTGAAATATATCAACTGTTACAGCTAAATCTGATAATTTGGAATGTGTGTTTTAAACTCTACATACCTTCATTCTTTTCTAAATTTTGTCCCGTCCTGACTCCCTTTTCTTGGGTATGAATCTCTGGTTTTGTAAGCCTGGAAGCTGATCTACAAAATATAGTGTAATGATGTTCAGCTGAGAGAAACACAGGAATGTTACATTATGAAGCAATAAAGGAAAACTGCTCTCTTACTGCTGTAGTAAGGACATACTACTTTCAGTGTTGTCATTCTTTAAACAGACAATTCATGTGAAAAGGGCAGAAAGACATTTCACTTCATACTTACTTTAAACAGACAAAAAATGTAGGGGCATTTTTAAACACTATTGTAAGCATTTATGAAATCATCCATTCACTGAAATAACACTATTCTCAATGTAGCAAGCAATATATTTACTAACTTCTAACTATGTATATTTTAACAGTTTCCCAACTTATAGCGATTAAAAGGAACACTTTATTATTTGAAACATTCTTTTTAATTTCTTTGGTTTTGATTCTTGTGCTATTCCCAATACCTTGTCAAGTTATCAATACCTTCTCAAGTTTAGTTGGTGTAGTGATTTTTCATTTTTAATCAGACATGCAGCAGTTTCACAGCCTTTCTAGGATTCTCCCCGTCCAGAATAAAGAATTTTCTTGGTATAAAGAAGGAAGCAAAAGATGGAGAGGTTATCCTGATGCTGCAGTTCTCAAGTTGTACCTTTCCTCTGGGAAGCTAACCCTCTTAGGGAAGGTCAGATTTTCAGTGTCAGCACCTCTAGGCCTGCTCCAACTTGGCCAATTAATAAGTAAACATCAGAAACTATCTGAGACAATACTAGCAATTTGGTAAAATGTTTTATTTTTTAAGTATCAGTTATTTTTCTGGAAAAAGTTTTCTGAGGGTAGCCTATAAGAAGGAATTATAATATTCTGTAGTTTCCCTTTGTACAACAGTTCTTATCTCTAGGACATATGATCCTTGGGAAATAATATGAATCCACACAAGTATAAGAGGTAATATGACATTTAGCCCCCAATTTGAAACTCAAAGGAGCTTTTATGAGGGCTGGGGTTGTGGCTCAGCTGTGGTGCACTTGCCCATGCATGAGGGACTGGGTTCGATCCTCAGCACCACGTAAAAATAAAATATTGTGTCCACCTATAACTAAAAAATAAATATTAAAAAAAAGAGCTTTTATGAAGCTTGAATTTATGGATATTTTTAGTTCTCCACTTGCCGGTGTGTACTTACCTCAAAATATTTTAGATTAGAACAGTGCTAGTATCAACTATTTCTAATGGGACTTTAATAATTTGATAAATAGTCATTGGAAATTCTTGGGCAGAGAAACTAAAAGGTATCAGGGTCTACCTTATTCATTTATAAGGCTGGTGAAAAGTTTGTAAGGGTGTGGGAAAAATGTCATTTCTCCACCTTTACCCACACTTTATGTAGCAATTCTATTTTTGGAAATTTATCTCTTAGTACTTGAACAAATATGCAGAGGTTTATACAATTTTTTTTTTACTGTAGCACTGTTGCTAATGACTCAATGAAAGTTTGAGTTTAGTTAAATAAATTTTGCCATAATCATATAGAATAATTCACAGCTATTAAAGATAGATCTAGATCTACTAAAAGTCATCTTCTCATTTAAAAAATTATAGAACATGGGATGGGGGTGTGGCTCAGTGGTAGAGCACTCGCCTAACATGTGTGAGGCCCTGGGTTCAATCCTCAGCACCATGTACAAATAAATAAAATAAAGGTATAGATTCCACCTACAGTTAAGAAAAATTATATATATATATATATATATATATATATATATACACACACGTATATATGTATATGTAATTTTTATTAAATTATAGAACATATGTATGGCATCAACCCATTTGAAGAGACATATGCTTATATGTGCATTAAAAATTCAAGGAAATGCAAAAAACTTCACAATATGGTCCAAAAAGCGGATGAGTGGGAAGGGGTATTCTACTTTTTACTTCATAACTTTCTGAATCATTTGAATTTTTCCTTTTTTAAGCAATGAACATGTATGTATTGCTTTTACAACTAAAAATTAGCAACCTAATATTAAGTATGGACTTTGTTTGGACTTTTATTTGAATAAAAGTAAAAAGATAATTCAGAGTCATTGAGGGAATTTAATTCTAAGTTTCACATTTGATAGAGCTGAGCCTCCAAAAGTTTTTTATACAAAAACAGTACTGAAACAGATGGATTTACTAATTAGTAATCTTTCATCACTGGGGTGTGAATGTATTGGAAAATTGTAAAAAGGACTCCTGCCCTAAAAGGGCATTTGGACCAAGACTGCTTTCAGCAATTCCCCACTCCCCCTGCTACATTCTAAATAATCAAAATAATTACTAATACCTGCCTTTAAAGAAAATTTATTCTCATACATAAACAAGGCTCAGAAATTTCAGATTTACCAGAATCTCATCTTAATAGTGTAACTTCAAAGTAAATGTGCTAATAAACTCAAAATGAATGAAATATCTAATAGTAAGAGTCAAATCTATAAAACTCTTAGAAGAAAATGGGAAAAACTTCATAACATTGGATTTGGCAATGATTTCTTTGGAACATGAGCAAAATGCACAGGCAACAAAAGTAAAAATAGACCAAGTAGATTATATCAAAATTAAAAACTGCATGAGAGAGATAACAGAGTGAAAAGACAATCTAAGGAACAAGATAAAACATTTTCCAATTTCCCCAATATATAAAGGTTAGTATTTATAATATATAACGAACTACAACCCAACAACAAAAACTAAACAACCCTACTGAAAAAAGGGCAAAGGACTTGAATAGACATTTCTACAAAGAAAATATGAAGAGTTACTAAACACATGAAAATATGCTTCACATAATCATTAGGAAATGCAAATTAAAATCACAATGAGATAACACCTCACATCTACTAAGAAGGCAACTATGAAAAAAACATAAAACCAAAACCAACACAGGAAAATAAAACAAAAATAATAGGCATTGGTGAGCACGTAGGGACTACTGATGGGAACTAATGATGGAAATGTAAAATGGACAATATGATGGCTCCTCAAAAATTTAAAAATAGAATAACCACGTTTCAATAACACCACTTCTGGGAACATAGCCAGAAGAACTGAAACCAGTATTGCCAAGAAGTATCTATAAATCCATGTTCACAGCATCATTAGTCATAACCACCAAGAGGAAGCAACACATGCATCCCATTGATTCATGAATAGATGGGGAAAAAGTAAATGGACTAACTATTCAACCTTGAAAAGGAAGGATATTCTGACATGCTATAATATGGATGAATCTTAAAGACATTATGCTAAGTAAAATAAATCAATCTCAAAGAAATACCTTATATGAAGTACCCAATCAAATTCAGAGACAAAAAGAATGTGTCTGAGGGCTGGGAGAGGGAAGAATGGGGAATTGTTTAATTGGCAGTTTTGTAAGATGAAAAAAATTCTGGAGATTGGTTGCAAAACAATGGACTCCTGCCCTAAAAGGGCATTTGGATCAAGACACCCTGCTGAACAGTACACTTAAAAAAGGGAGGACTGGGGATATAGCTCAGTAGTAAAGCGTTTGCCTAGCATGTGATACTGTGAATACATTGCTTTTGGTTCAAAGCTAGAAATCTAAATATTGGCACCAAATAAAAACAAATTATGTAAGCTTTTAAAATAAATAGGGATGATCCCCTTATCCATATTAGTTAAAATTAATAACAAAAGCTACTACTTAGTGGATACCTCCTATATGTCATGTATTTTATAAGCATTAAACAGGCTTATTAAAGTGTTGAACTCTTAGGAGAAAAGTGGCAGAGACAGAATTTATTTATTTTTATTTTAATTTTTTGTACCATGAATTGAACTAAGGATCGCTTAACCACTGAGCCACATCCCCACCTTCTTTTATTTTGATACAGGGTCTCACTAGGTTGCTTATAGCCTTGCTAAGTTGTTGAGGCTAGCTACAAACCTGCAATCTTCCTGACTGCAATCACTTGAATTTTCATTTTAAAAATTATGGAACTTATGTTCCCCCAAGCTGTTGGATTACTGGCATGTACCATCACTCCTGGCCAGAATTTAAATTGAAGTGTGTGTGGTTCTAAAGCTCATGTTCATTTCCCAATACCATGGGGTTTGCCAAATATGCCTTTGTTGGGGTAATATGACTATGGTATTCCTTTAGCTTTAGTTTGACAAATTTCTAGAATTAAAAAAGGTGGGAGAGAAAAAAATACACCCTGAATCATTCCACTTGTAGCAGACAAAAAGCAACTATTATTTCTGAGGCCAATGTGAATAGATTTTAAAATTGAATGCAATTATATCATCATGGAAATTCATACCATCATGGAAGTATTGAATTAGATCATATATTTTTAATTTTAGTTAAAATCATGTGTGGCATGATGCCAAGCAACTTCCTAACCTCTATAATAGACCTTTCCATAATTTAAAATTAAGTACTGTTTATGAAGGTTACATTTTGAAGTGTGTAGATTTTAACCCGTTAAGTCCCAAGTTTTTAATTCTATGAACAAAATATTCAAATATTATTTCAAAGTTATTATAAGTAGTACATATGTTTTTCAGCTTAAGTTTTTATAGGTATTCCACACCTGGGACAATAGGACAAGATGGTTTAAGGAAAATAAACCTTAGTATATTGCTTGATTATGACTGGCCCAGTGGGACTTGAGCTTGGGTGCTGGTGAGCAATAAGGCTCAGCGAACAGGAACTTGTTCTCTCCCCCTGCAAGAATAGACAGATTCTGGCCTAWCAAAGATTCTTCCAAACTGGTGCCAACTGCAATCTGGGTGTATATAAAAATAACATTTATTAATATAGGCTGTACAATATATTTAGTCAAACCAAAAAACATACACAACAACTTAAGTAGAATTGGTAAGATTCCATTCAGCCTGAAATTTATATTCCAGATAGAAATGGAAACTGCCTTTAGCTTAAAACACAATCGAAAAGCAAAGTGGTTTCTATTACATCTTGTGGGAGAGTGGAGACCTGTGGAGAGCTGAAGTACTGTAGTTGATTTAATATTGTCAAGGCCGGGGCCAGCCCATAGCCCAGAACAGAAATTAGCCCTAGTGCTGGCTTCTTTACTATGAAGGCAATAGGGTATTGTTATAAAAGTTCAAACAAAATCCCAAAGTCCTAAAATCTTCCTGGAAGTGGCAGCGTACCATAGGTTTGCAGCACATACCAGTATGGAAACTGCAATCACTTTGCTGTAGTCTTTTGA